ATTGGTCAGAACCATCATGCAGTGAAAACGGGTTCAGGAGTCATTCAGTCGAAGTATTTTGATGAAAATGTTTCTTCAGCCTCGGCTGTTTTTTTAGTGTAAACATCTGTGTAAACACAGTGGGGAGACCACTGACTCAACTGGATGGATGGATGGATGAATAAATGGATGGATGAATAGTTGGATGGATGGATGGATGGATGAATAAATGGATGGATGAATAAATGTATGGATGGATGAATGAATGGATGGATGGATGAATAAATGGATGGATGGATGAATAAATGGATGGATGGATAAATGGATGGATGGATGAATAAATGTATGGATGGATGGATGGATGAATAAATGGATGGATGGATGGATGAATAAATGGATGGATGGATGAATAAATTGATGGATGGATGGATGAATAAATGGATGAATAGTTGGATGGATGGATGGATGAATAAATGGATGGATGGATGGATGAATAAATGGATGAATAGTTGGATGGATAAATGGATGAATAGTTGGATGGATGGATGGATGGATGAATAAATGGATGGATGGATGAATAAATGGATGGATGGATGGATGGATGGATGAAATGGATGGATGGATGAATAAATGGATGGATGGATGGATGAATAAATGGATGGATGAATAGTTGGATGGATGGATGGATGAATAAATGGATGGATGGATGAATAAATGGATGGATGGATGGATGAATAAATGGATGGATGGATGGATGGATGAATATGGATGGATGGATGAATGGATGGATGGATGAATAGTTGGATGGATGGATGGATGAATAAATGGATGGATGGATGGATGGATGGATGGATGAATAAATGGATGGATGGATGGATGGATGGATGGATGGATGGATGGATGGATGGATGGATGGATAAATGGATGGATGGATGGATGAATAGTTGGATGGATGGATGGATGGATGGATGAATAAATGGATGGATGGATGGATGGATGATGATAAATGGATGGATGGATGGATGAATAAATGGATGGATGGATGAATAAATGGATGGATGAATAGTTGGATGGATGGATGGATGGATGAATAAATGGATGGATGGATGGATGGATGGATGGATGGATGGATGCTGCTTCTGTTGCCTAAATCTGCATGTGTCCTGTGAAGACGTGGACTCCAGATGTCGCGTGTGTTCTGGTGAAGACTCTGGTCCAGTTTGTTGTGTTTGCTTGTTTTTATAGACTCCCAAAGTAAATCCAGAAAACCGTCCAAGAAAAGAAAAAAGGAGAAACAACAGAAAAAAGTAATGATTTTATTTTTCTCATGCATTCAAAGAACTGACACATATTTCAAACCGAATTCACCGATAACAAAATCCATCTATTTTATTTTTAACGGGAGCAGAAAGGAAAGAAAGAGAAGCGGCGAAAACGTAAAAAAGAGAAAAAAGCCAAAGGAGAAGAAAACTCTGGACCCGTACAGATCTCCAAGGTAACGACGACAACAATCCTACCGTCTGTCACCCGTCCACCCAAGGACGTCAGAAACTGTCTTTAGATTATAAGAAGACTGTAATGGTTGTTTTTGGTTATATAGATATATTTGTGTATTTGCTAATGTGACATTAGTCTCTACTGTCTCTTTGTAATCCCACAGATTAATAATAATCTCACCGTCAGTCAGCTGTCGTATTCCTGACTAACTCTGAGCGTGTTTTTCTTTCAGTACTTGAAGGACAGAAAAAAAGGAAAGTACAGTATGATTTCAGGGAAGAAAATCAAGATGAAGGTGAAGAAGTCAAAGAAAGACAAACAGGTAAAATTCACCCTTTCATCCTCATGTCAGAGGGTCTCATCGACGCTCACTCCTGCCCTCTGTTGTGTTTCAGCGGGATAAAAACCGAGCAGAACTTCTTGACTTCTTAAACTCGACCCTGTGATACCGTCGGGCTCACGCCTGAACACGCCAACAGAACTCAGGAAACAAGATCTCATCTCAGCAGAGGAGCAGAAATAAAGCTGATGAAGTCAGGAGGGAAACGCTTCAGTCTGGGCCGGTGTGAAATATCGACCCGGACAGTCGAACCCTGCCTCTGTGAGTCTGCTCCTGACCTGGTCCCTCCTCTGCAGAGGATCAGCTGTTATCAGAGCAGACTGATGGATGAAGATCCAGCGTGTTCAGTGTGTATGAGCCTCCAGAAACAAACGTCACACATTCTTCCTTTAATGTCTTTGATACAGGTCAGTGTAAAGTTTGGTCAGCAGCTTCAGAGCGACGTTGGTGAAGCTCTCCCACTTCACAGTCAGTCTGTAAAGAAGCTGAAGGTCAGAGCTGATGTCTTCTGAACATGGAGAGACCTTCTCACCGCCTGCTTCTGTCAGTCCTCGACTCTCTCTGACCGTCTCCTCTTTAGTTTTAGGAAATGTCTCTTTTTTTTTATTTTCATGCTGTTTCTGGTTAAAGATGTGAATCTGTTCTGATCCGCCCCAAATCCAAGAACTGGTTTGGACCCTCTGGGCTGAAGAGAGTTGTTCCTCTGTACATGATTGTTGTTTTTTTAATGGAGGGTGGTGTAAACATGAAGGAGGTCGGCGGAAATAAACCCTGAAAAGATTCTGGAGACTCAAAAACTCTTTTTCTCTGAGAGGTCCAGTTTGTCTCCTGATGTCAGGAATTCACTCTGTCACCAGGAGCACAAACCGGACCTTCAGGCCTGATGTCTGACATATATATACATACATCTATTTATACATGTGTATGAAGCATTTAAAGGAAACAAGTCTGTGAGAAACAGCCTTCAAAGTGAAACAGTCCGTCTGCAGAGGAGGAGGAGACCCAGCAGAACCGTTTCAAGGTCCAGTAAGTGGAAAAACACGGAGACGTCGTCTGAGTTTGAAGTGAGTGAATGAAACGCTGACAGGACGTCTCCAAAGTGTGTCCTACTGAGACGTCCCGCGGTGTTGGCGTCTGTGAAGGTCCCGCCTTCTCAGACCACTTTATTGCTGCTGGTACCTTTGTATCTAAAGTCCGGCATGCTCCACACCCTCTGGGCCCGCTCCTGCCGCTCCATCCCTCTCTCCACGTCCTCAGACACGGTCTTCAGGTCGCTGAGCCCCGCTCCGTCAGACACGGCGGCGGTCAGGCCGACCGTGCTCCCAAACGGGTTGATCTTGATGCGGGACCTGAAGTTCATGAAGGACATGCTCATGGCACGTTTGTTGTTCCACTGACGGGTGAGCCTCTGCGCCTCCTGCTCCTCCTTCAGGTTCTCCAGGGCCTCCAGGAGCACAGAGCGAAACAGGCCAGACACCTCCTGAACCTCCGGCTCGTTGGTCTGCATGACCTCCCTGAACCTGAGAGGAGAGAAAGACCAACGATGAACCAGAACTATCTGAGAGAGCGGGTCGAGTCCTGTCCTCCTGCTAACGAGCAGAACCTTAACGAGCAGAGATCCTGTTTGACACTCAGAACCTCCAGTCCTGCTCTTTAGTTCTGAACAGATTCCGGGTCAGAACCTTCACTGTGATTATTGTTGCTGTCTGTGCAGAACTACGGTGGCCCTGAGGTGCAAAAGAACAGAGAACACAAATGGTTCATGTGGTTTTTAACATTCAGATGTCTGACATGACAGTGAAGTATAAAGATAATAATCGTAATAATGAACCAACTTTAGAGAAACTGAAGGTCCAACTTTTCCAGTTTGAAACCATCGAAATAAAAACTCATAAAAAAACTCAAGTGTGGAAAAGAAACAAGTATTGATGCTCCTGCAGACGTTCAGGTTTAGATTCTGTTGGTGTTCTAGTTTTATATAGTGAAGGGAAAACGTCCAGTCTGCTCTTTTCTCTCTGAACTTCAGTTTTTATCTCCGCCTGTGTGTCGTTCAGAGAGCGTGACCATGGAAACCAGCGTGTGAGCGAGACGCCGCCATTTCATTAAACTTCAGTCAATATGAGGACGTCCCCCTCTGTGCTTCCAATTAAGATCTGTGTGTGTGTGTGTGTGTGTGTGTGTGTGTGTGTGTGTGTGTGTGTGTGTGTGTGTGTGTTAGTGCCACCGAGCATTTAGCACATTAACACCGCCTCCCAAAATCTGCCAAACTCTAACAAGTCACCTGAGACACCTGAGGCAGCTGTGTGTGAACAGATGCTCCAACGAGATTAACACACACACACACACACACACACACACACACACACACACACGAGTCCATCGATGGTTCGTGTGTGTGTGTGTGTTCAGGACGGAGGACTTGGCTGAAACGTCCGCCCCGCTCTGCCAAACACGACGCTTCGTGCTTCACCGTCTGCCAGCGACACCTTGACCAAACGGGGATTTGGGAGGTCACCTTGGGTTAGATCTTCAGAGCAGCCGATGTGCGCGCCTGTTAAGACCCGCCCCCTTTGACTCTCAGGAACAGGTGAGAGCGTTCTGTTCAAAGTCAGACACTTGTATTCAGTGAGTTTGGTGAGTGAACGTCTTTGTTATTGAGACTGAATGATAAAGAAACCCTGTCAGCTTTCTAGAAGTTTCCTGTAACTGTGTCTGTTTGAGGCTCCAGAGTTATTATTATTATAGTTCTGCATTCGGCCCTTTGACCTCATGTGTGAAAATGAAGGTCTAAAAGAATGACCTTTAATGACCTTTGGGTCGACTGAATCCTGACCGGACCTTTGTTCTTCAGCATGACTCAGTCCACTCTTATATTTTACACAGAGGAGAAAACACTGAGTCTTCATAAACCATGAGGAATCACAGATACATGCTGGATGTTCCATCTCCAAACTCAAGTGTCTGCTGTTTGACATCAGGAGGTTCGACTGTTTACAGCTCTGACATGATAATTGAACCCGCTGTGTGACACAATCATGTCTTTTCCTCAGTGGGTTCATTCGTTCTCCAAAGACACACACATCTCCCGTCTGTTGTGTAGCTCTTCATCAGACACCAGCTCACACAAATGTTCATACCAACAACCACAAGATGGAGGACCTGTGCGGAAAACAAAAGAGTCTGGAAACAGGAAATCTAAATTCATCTACGCCATACCGCTGTTGTTCCAGTGTTTCAGGTCACACTTTAATCTAATCATTCAATATCAGGCTCCATGAAAACAGAGACATGATCAGACCTGATCAATCAATCTGCAGCAGGTCCATCAGTGACGCTAAAAAGCTGCTGGAGTTTTAAATCGAGCTTTAAAGGTTAAAAAAACTAGAAAAGTATAAAGTACTATAACATACTATAGTGTACTAAAGAGGAGTATACTCTACATTAGTATACTATAGTACACTATAGTACACTATAGTGTACTATAGTGTACTAAAGAGGAGTATACTCCTCTTTAGTACACTATAGTACACTAGTACACTATAGTGTACTAGTACACTATAGTGTACTAAAGTAGAGTATACTCCTTTTTTTAGTACACTATAGTGTACTAATGTAGTACATACTATAGTACACTATAGTACACTATAGTACACTATAGTGTACTATAGTGTACTATAGTGTACTAATGTATAGTATACTCCTCTTTAGTACACTATAGTACACTATAGTGTACTAATGTAGAGTATACTGTACTATATAGTATGGTAAAGTTAAGGACAATTTGGTTCAGTATACTATAGTATAGTACAGTATGGTATAGTATAGTGTTGTAAATCCTGTATGCTGACAGAACAGGTTACATAACCATATTGCGCGTGCGTGCGTGCGTGAGTGTGTGTGTGTGTGTGTGTGTGTGTGTGTGTGTGTGTGTGTGTGTGTGTGTGTGTGTGTGTGTGTGTGTGTGTGTGTGTGTGTGTTTGTGTGAGTGTCTGTGTGTGTGCGTGTGCGTGTGTGTGTCTGTGTGTGTGTGTGTGCGTGTGTGTGTGTGTGTGTGTGTGTGTGTGTGTGTGTGTGTGTCTCTCTTACTTGAGTATAACGAGCCCACAGCAGGGAGGAGGAACCTTGGAGCAGAGGTCCTCCAGGCCCAGTTTCTCTCCGGTGCTGATGCTGTAGGAGGAGCGTGGCGAGGAGGCCAGCCAGCTGTAGTCCACGCCGGTTTGGAGTCGGCGGTACTCGCTCTCTCTCTCTTTCTGCTGCCGCTCGGCCTCCTTCAGCTGCCAGTTAAACTCCAACATCAGGGTGTCGGTGACCACGTCGGCCGGGTCTCTGCGAGGACTCTGATAGTACGGCTCAGTCCAGTTCAACCAGGAGGACATGGTGGTGCTGCTGATGTTCCTCACAGCCCCCCTGATGGAGACCACAGAGAAGGTCTGAACACCAACATGAGGAGACTGAACAGAAGACTGCTGTCTCTGCTGAGGGTCAAAGGTCAACAGAGGAGATCAGCTGATTCCACCCGCCGTCATAAATTCACGTTTTAAAAAGGTCAAAATCAGCTGATCAGCTGATCCTCGATGATTCAGGAGGCTGAAGAACCGCCGCTCTCCACGCAGAGACCTTCATGTTCCCCCGCCCCCCCGCTGGTTTGCATATCAATCACTTTAAAGTCTGTTAGATCAAAGACACACACACACACATACACACACACACACACACACACACACACACACACACACACACACACACACACACACACACACACACACACACTCACACACCGGCTCTTTGTTCCACAGGTGTCTCGTCCACTCCCACAGGTGCTGCATTCATTATAATGGGACACTTCAGTCTCTGATGGACATTATTTTTAGACTGAACTTCATTATCATCTGATTATTGATCATTGATTCACCGTTATAGGAGAGAATATTCCTTTATTGATTTCCCAGGGGGACAAAGAAAGATAAAAGATAAAAACACTGAATGAATGAGTGAATGAGTGAATGAATGAGTGAATGAATGAGTGAGTGAATGAATGAATGAGTGAGGAGATGAAGAACAGAGGACGAGTCATCAGGAACACCGTCTCTCCGTTTCACTGATTAGAGCTGAAAATAATTTAAACTTTTGACTTTTATTCTCCAAACTTCATAAACCTCCTAAAGTCGTGACGGACAGATAAAAACGAGACAAAAAAAAAACAAACATGTCGTTTTACTGCATCAGGCCACATTAATAAGAAGGACATAACACACACCTTTCAAAATAAGATACTTTTCAAAATAAAAGACATGTCAAACATCAATACTTATTTAACCAGCTGTTCGCGACCCATCCTGAACATGTCCGTGACCCACTTTTGGGTCGGGACCCACCGGTTGAGAACCTCTGATATAGAGAGCTGGTTTGGACCTAACAGGACTCAGGTCTTGGCTCGGTTTGTGGGTCCGATTATCTCCATGCTGACACAACAGAGAGAGATTAGTTTGAGCCCGGCCCTGACCTTTGACCCCCACTGTTCACTGTGACACAGGTAACCTTTCAAAATAAAAGCCCCACACCAGCAGAGGTGTTCTAGGTGGACTCTGGAGGTTCTCCAGGGTCTGTTCTGGATCATCTCTAAAGTCTTCAGGGTCTGATGAGGACCTGGTTCTTAAAGCAGATCTCCATGAGTCCTCCTTGTTGGACTCTCAGATGATGATGATGATGATGATGATGATGAAGGTCAGGTTCAGGTGTTTCTGAGTTTAACCCTTTAATGACTTTTGATTCATACTTCTATCAAATCAATATGATCAATAAAAAAACACCTGATTACAGTCCGATCAATGATCAAAATCTCAGTTTCCAAAAACATCGAATGAATCAAACCAGATCAATAAATATATTTGTTCAATTTGAAGGACATTTTGATTTTCAGTCATAATCAATCAAAAAGTGAATTTTCTGCCGTAATTAAAGGGTTAAAATCTTCTCAAATTAACCCTTCATCAATAATCAATAATTAGACTTGATCTAATTCAGCAGAGTTCAGTCAGGACGGGGCGCTCTGCTTCATCGTTTTCTCTCCGACTGTTAAATTAGAAACTAAAATAACCAAAAAAAACAACCGTTTCAGTTTGTTGAAACTTCCTCCTCTCAACACTCTGCTCTTTCTTTTCACCACCAACACATTTCAGAACATCAGCCTGACTGGAGAACACAGGAGAAGAAGAAGAAGAAGAAGAAGAAGAAGAAGAAGAAGGAACCTTCTTCACGTACCTGTTTTTATTCTGCTCAAGTTCTTCTTCAAACTCCAGCAGCTACAAAAACCCGAGTCCGTCTGAAGGCCGATGGAAGCTGAGGAGACGAGAGCTGAGCGAGGGAACAGAAGGGAGAGAGAAAGAAAGGATCTGCTCCTCCTCACAGTCCCACAGTGATCGCTCCTCCTCCTCCTCCTCCTCCTCCTCCTCCTCCTCCTCCTCCTCCCAGGAGCCTCTCTGGCCTGCCTTTACTTGCAGCAGGAGGTTGGGGCACCTTCTCCGACAAGAGCCCCCCCTCCCAACCCACGAGGTGCTTATGTAGCTTTTTACGATTGGCCGTTGCCATAGCGACGCTCCTAAGCCTGTTTGTCCACAATAAGCTCTATCAGCTGAGAGGAGCTGAGAGCGATGAAGAGGAGGAGGAGGATAAAGAGGACGAGGAAGAGGACGCCGTGGGCTGAGATGGAAACACAGAGACGAATCAGAGGACGGTGATTGGTGCAACATGAGCGCCAGGTCACGCTGTGTGTGTGTGTGTGTGTGTGTGTGTGTAAATGGACTTCCCACAGATAATGAGTCTCAGCGGCCCGGAGCAACAGGAAGTGTGTGTTTGTGTGTTTGTGTGTTTGTGTGTTTGTGTGTTTGTGTGTTTGTTGTTGTGAGGAGCAGAAAGGTGAAGAGTAAAAACTGAGGGTGCAGTTGTGTGTGTGTGTGTGTGTGTGTGTGTGTGTGTGTGTGTGTGTGTGCGCGCGTGCGTGTGTGTGTGTGAACAGCTGAGAGGCCCAGTCACACATCCATCAACACAATAACACCCCCTCTCTGCTGCTCTTCCTCCTCCTCTTCATCGATCATCGTCAGCTCTGTGTGTGTGTGTGTGTCTGTGTGTGTGTGTGTGTGTGTGTGTGTCTGTGTGTGTGTGTGTGTGCGTGTCTCCAGCAGGACTCTGAGGTCCTCAGACTCTTTGGGTTTTAAGTTGTTGCTCCAGAACTTTTGAAGGACCCTTTATTTAGACCGGTCTTTGTTGGACCTGGATCTGTCCTCACTGGTTCTGTCTCAGTGATCCTCCTCCCCTCTCCTCCTCTCCTCCCCTCTCCTCCTCTCCTCTCCTCCTCTCCTCCCCTCTCCTCTCTTCCTCCCCTCTCCTCCTCTCCCCTCTCCTCCTCTCCCCTCTCTTCCTCCCCTCTCTTCCTCCTCTCCTCCCCTCTCCTCTCCTCCTCTCCTCTCCTCCTCCTCTCCTCTCTTCCTCCCCTCTCTTCCTCCTCTCCTCCTCTCCTCGACTCTCCTCCCCTCTCCTCCTATCCTCCTCCCCTCTCTTCCTCCTCTCTTCCTCCTCTCCTCCTCTCCTCTCCTCCCCTCTCCTCTCCTCTCCTCCTCTCCTCCTCCTCCTCCTCCTCCTCCTGTTGTAGGAGCAGATGGAGGTTAATCCTGTAATCTCGTCTCTAAATCCTCTAAACTGATTCTGTCCATCAGCTCTTCTCGTGATGATGATGATGATGATGCTCACAGACCGAGTGGACGCCAGGCTCCGCTCATGTGTGAACTGTGTGTGTGTGTGTGTGTCCGTGTGTGTGATAGTGTGTGGGTGGGAGGTCCGATCAGACTCTTCAGCCCGTTTGGATCCATGGAAACATGGAGGGGGCGGGGTTAGGTTTAAACCCACCAATCGTAAACCATGAAATCTTTTCAGAACAAACTGAAACGTTGAAATCGGACCGTTTTAAAATGTTGTTTTTAGAGCACAGAGACTGACCCCCAAACACAGAGACTAACCCCCAAACACAGACTGACCCCCAAACACAGAGACTAACCCCCAAACACAGACTGACCCCCAAACACAGAGACTAACCCCCAAACACAGAGACTAGCCCCCAAACATAGACTGACCACCAAACACAGAGACTAACCCCAAAACACAGAGACTAACCCCCAAACACAGAGACTGACCCCCAAACACAGACTGACCCCCAAACACAGAGACTGACCCCCAAACACAGACTGACCCCCAAACACAGAGACTAACCCCCAAACACAGACTGACCCCCAAACACAGAGACTGACCCCCAAACACAGAGACTAACCCCCAAACACAGAGACTAACCCTTAAACACAAACTGACCCCCAAACACAGAGACTAACCCCCAAACACAGAGACTGACCCCCAAACACAGACTGACCCCCAAACACAGAGACTGACCCCCAAACACAGAGACTTACCCCCGAACACAGAGACTGACCCCCAAACACAGAGACTAACCCCCAAACACAGAGACTAACCCCCAAACACAGACTGACCCCCAAACACAGAGACTAACCCCCAAACACAGAGACTGACCCCCAAACACAGAGACTAACCCCCAAACACAGACTGACCCCAAACACAGAGACTGACCCCCAAACATAGACTGACCCCCAAACACAGAGACTGACCCCCAAACACAGACTGACTCCCAAACACAGAGACTAACCCCCAAACACAGAGACTGACCCCCAAACACAGAGACTAACCCCCAAACACAGACTGACCCCCAAACAAAGAGACTGACCCCCAAACACAGAGACTAACCCCCAAACACAGAGACTAACCCCCCAAACACAGAGACTAACCCCCAAACACAGACTGACTCCCAAACACAGAGACTGACCCCCAAACACAGAGACTGACCCCCAAACACAGAGACTAACCCCCAAACACAGAGACTGACCCCCAAACACAGAGACTAACCCCCAAACACAGAGACTGACCCCCAAACACAGAGACTAACCCCCAAACACAGACTGACCCCCAAACACAGACTGACCCCCAAACACAGACTGACCCCCAAACACAGAGACTAACCCCCAAACACAGAGACTAACCCTTAAACACAAACTGACCCCCAAACACAGAGACTAACCCCCAAACACAGAGACTAACCCCCAAACACAGAGACTGACCCCCAAACACAGAGACTAACCCCCAAACACAGAGACTGACCCCCAAACACAGAGACTGACCCCCAAACACAGAGACTGACCCCCAAACACGGAGACTGACCCCCAAAGACACTCCTGAGCTCTGACAGGAGATCAGCAGCAGACGGGAACTCAGTCTGGAGAACTGGAGCATCTGCATCATAGTCCTGTAAGGAGGCCAACCAGGGCACACACACTCACACATGTAAATGCACACACACACACACACACACACACACACACACACACACACACACACACACACACACACACACACACACACACACACACACACACACACACAAATCACAGATTGCTGAACAGACTCTGAATAAACACAGAATATCTCCTGAAATTCATGCAGCAGAAACAGGAAGTTGTCGACCTCCTGAGAAGCTCCACCTGAACAGGTGAGCCCTCCTCCTCCTCACAGAACCTCCCCCCCCTGATAACAGCTGGAGGTGAACACACAGTCGCTGCAGGTACAGGTACTAAAACACGTCTTCAAACTGTTTTTTATTCCTTTTTTTCCTTTAATTCTTTTTTGTGTCGCTGGTTTTTGTGTGTTTTTGTTTCTGTTTTATTTCTCTGTTTTGGACTTTGTTGTTTTTATTATTATTATTATTATATCTTCTATTTAAATGAAATAGATTGAATTGATATTGTCATGTGATCACTCAGTTGTTTGAATTCAGTACAGAAGAAATTAATCTTCAGGTCTCCTCATTGGTGTTAACTTAAGAGTAATTCAAACCCGACAGAAACCCGAGCTCTGACTGACCTGATCTCCAGGATGAAGTTCTCTAACACACCACTAGAGGGCAGATTCTGTCCACTCTAGCTGGAGGGTCTCCACAGACAGACTCCTGTCGATGTTAAACTAAACTGTGTTTCTGAGGTTCTCGGTTCTGATCCACTGAATCATTTCAGATCATCACTGAGAGGAAAACCAGTTTCACTGAGCTTCAGTCTGCAGACGTTAGTCCTGACCTTACATCAGCTGATTTTATGTTTTTATGCTTCCTCATGTTCATCATCTATTGAGACAGTAATAAATCAGAACTTCAGACTTCAGAAGTTCTGGTTTGTCGCTCCCTTTAGTAGATTCAGCTTTTGTTTAGTAATCATGAACCTCTAACAAAACCATGGACTTATATTTTTCACTCTCATGATGAGCTCATATCCACCAAACAAGGTAACCCCAAAAATCTGCCGGGTTTTAGGACCCAGATGTTGGCAGGTACGAGTCTCCTGACCTTCACCGGTGCTGGGAGAACTGCTCCACAGTTTTGGGTGGAGAAATGTTCTGAAAACTCATTCTTCACATTCTGGAGAAGTTTGATCAAACAAACAGCAGACCACCACACCTGCTGGACAAACATGAATCCACGCTCAGGAACACATTCCTGGGTGGATGAAACAACCAGGAGAGAGCGGGGGGCTTCAGAAGAGGAGCTGCTGGACAGGAGGTGAACATCTAAGGAACATCTGCTCCCTGGATAAACTGGAGGAGGAGCTGTGGAGGAGCAGACACTCCCTTTTGTTTGATTTTGGATCCACCTTTAGTCACATTTTAATGTTGAACTTCGACATTTACTGACAGATGTTACACTTCGATATAAAACACTCATACAGAAGCTCTGATTCGCTCAGGCTTGTTGAAAAATAAAACAAAAAATTAATAAGATGAAGAAATAAAAGTGAAAAAACAGAATTTATTTTAGGGATAACAAGAAAATTTTATCCATCAGAGAGAAAAGCTGAACTCAGTTTCATTCATGGTCCTCCATATATTAACAAATACACCTTTAAATATTTATTACAGAGTACTTCTGTTACTCTGTTTATTATTAAAGGGTACTTCTGTTACTCTGTTTATTATTAAAGAGTACTTCTGTTACTCTGTTCATTATAGTTTTTATTACAGAGTACTTCTGTTACTCTGTTTATTATTAAAGAGTACTTCTGTTACTCTCTTTGTTATTATAGTTTTTATTAAAGAGTACTTCTGTTACTCTGTAATTATTATCTTTTATTAAAGAGTACTTCTGTTACTCTGTTTATTATTATAGTTTATTAAAGAGTACTTTTGTTACTCTGTAATTATTATCTTTTATTAAAGAGTACTTCTGTTACTCTCTTTATTATTAAAGAGTACTTCTGTTACTCTCTTTGTTATTATAGTTTTTATTAAAGAGTACTTCTGTTACTCTGTAATTATTATCTTTTATTAAAGAGTACTTTTGTTACTCTGTAATTATTATCTTTTATTAAAGAGTACTTTTGTTACTCTGTTTTTATTATAGTTCTTATTAAAGAGTACTTCTGTTACTCTGTTTGTTATTATTATAGTTTATTAAAGAGTACTTCTGTTACTCTCTTTATTATTGTAGTTTATTAAAGAGTACTTCTGTTACTCTCTTTATTATTATAGTTTATTAAAGAGTACTTCTGTTACTCTGTTAATTATTAAAGAGTACTTCTGCTACTCTGTTTATTATTAAAGAGTACTTCTGTTACTCTCTTTGTTATTATAGTTCTTATTAAAGAGTACTTTTATTGTAGTTTATTCGTACAGATACTTGTGGGTGGTCTCTGTGCTGAATAGGATCTTTGTTGTGTGATCGTTGGTTCCCATAAAAACACAGAAACTCATCTGTCAGGGTTTTCTGCGCTCCACACTGAAATGATTCAGAGTCACAAGACCTGGAGCTGAGCACACGACCCGGAGCTGACCTTTAAAGGGCTATTCCACCAAAAACATCCATCCGCTCGTTAATAACCCGCATGTTTTTATGTCTGATAGTCTGTTTTATTGGACCTCCTCTGACACTCCTCTAAGTTTGATGTAGAGAATTAGTTCAGACCAGGTCCAGGACCATAGATTCCCCCCAGAGTCCAAAGTCCTCTGTCCTCTCTAAGGTTTCTGTAGATTTGCAGACGTGTTAGCACACAGTTCTGGATCATTTTCTTGCCAAACGTCTCAAAGTCCATGAGCCAGCCTTTCCAAATCTCCTTCATTCACATTTTTAATCTGTTCGTAAAACTCAGATTTACGGTCATTTCAGGTCAGAGCGGAAAGTTAAACTCACTAATTCTCCTTTACAGCAGAAATCTCTTACATCACAAACTTTAGAAGCTTTTCTAACCACCATAGATATCTACGACAAAGGCTAGATGACTCTATGAGGCGGAGTCAACGGCGGCCATTTTACTCCAGTATAGTGGTCTTCTCTATGGTAGCTGACAGGAGGTGAGTAATCTGATCAAAAATCCTCTTAACGCTGAAATCTTGACAGATTTACAGACAGTTTAGTTTATTACAGACCTTAATAACGAGGCTCTGAGTCGGGATGTTTGGACAGATTAAAATAACAGATTTACTTTGAGAAAAAAAGACTAAATCATGAAGAACAGTAGATTCACTTTGGACTAACTTTGAGTCACTTTGTCAAGGCTGAGACCACAATCCAGGTTTTAATTTCTTATATGACAGTCTATTATTTATTTATTCAGTCCAAGTGTCAGTCTTTGTGGATGGTCTTGTGTTTATCAGCTGTCTAACTTGTCTAACAGACTCGCTGTGACTGAGACCAAAGTTACAAAGTTGACCCAGTAATTTTACATCAGTTAAAGAGGCAGAAATGCTCTTTAGATTCAACAAAACTGAAGTTACACATGATTTCTAAACTGTTTGGTTTGTTAAAAACATCTAAAATGGAAACATGAGGCAGAAATTTATATTGAAAATAAATATGTATATATGTTATTGTTATATGTTAGTATAGTTATTCCTTATAATAGAAATATTACTAGTATAACAGACATGTAATGATTAAATGTTTTATACAGTACAGGCCCAAAGTTTGGACACACCTTCTCATTCAGTGTCTTTTCTTTGTTTTTTTATACGACTGTTTACATCGAAGATTCTCACTGAAGGATCAAAACTATGAATGAACACATGAGGAATTTTGTACTTATAACTAAAAACGTGTTTTATATTCTAGTTTCTTTAAAATCCATCCTTTGCTCTTGATGACAGAAGAAACCCTGAGCAGACACTCCTGTGAAGTAAAAACCATCTCAGGTGACGACGTCCTGAAGCTCAGTGAGAGGACAGCAGGAGTCTGCAGAGCTATCAGAAAAAACAAAGGGGGTCGACTCTGAGGAACCTAAAATATTAAACATGTTATTTCACACGTTTTTCTTCAGCACATGATTCCTCATGTGTTCATTCATAGTTCTGACGCCTTCACTGAGAATCTACAATTAAACAGTAATGAGAATAAAGAAAATGCATCGAATGAGAAGGTCTGTCCAAACGTTTAGCCTGAACTGTATATAAATGATTGAATATAACTGCTGTGTGTGTGTGTGTAGGTCTGTATCTATCTGTTTAATGTTTATTTATGTAAATCCATGGTTACAATTATTCCTGAATATGCAGGAACAGAACTACAACTCTGAGGTTTGTTACAGTTCAGTTTAAAATGAATCACTCTGTGGTTATTTAAATGTCACATGAACCGTAGACTGGAACGTTCGGAGTGGGCGAGGTTCTTCCTTTTTTATTAACATATTCAACAATTTACAAAACTCTCAGTGGGAGAAAAGAGCAGATGTCCAACAGCGATAATATTCATAGAAACAGCAGCTGTAAATATGAGATAATCAATAATTGATCATTAGATTAGTTAGATTAGTTCAGAGACGTCATCACAGAGGTTTAAAATAAGGTGTCAGTTTGAAACAATGGAGGAGGAGTGGGCGGGATGACTGTTGTAAGATGGCCGCCATGAGTGCGTGAGTCATCTAGCGTTTATATATCTATGTTTCTAGAGCCACTCAACAGCCACCACTCAAGCTATCGCGAGATTACGGTTGCCGACGGCGTGCGTAGCAACCGCTGTTGTCTAGCTCTGAAGCTCCGCCTCCTCGCGAGAGTTGCAAACTCTAACCAATCAGAATCGACCTTGGCTCGCCTGCACCAATAGGAGCGTAGAGGGGCGGGTCCTGCTGGTCCCCAGTTCCGTGTGGAAAGTTTACCGGCTCGGGTGCAAACTTTGACCGTCTGCAAACCGAGGGGAGTCGGCTAAGGTTGGTTCTGTTCACCGGGCTCTACTCTCACGGCACCAGGCTCTGCTCTCACTATAACTGGACCCTCTTCCTGTTCGGGACCGAGTGATGCTGAAGGACCGCAGCGGTGGATGAAGTCTCGGTCCGGTTCTCCTCGGTGGTTTAGTCTCAGGTCCGGTTAGCTCCCCGTTAGCTCGGACTAGCGCGTCCCAGTCCTCGAGCAGAACCTTTACTCTTGGTTTATTGTGTTAGAAAAGGACGGGTTCGAAGATGGCGTGTGAGCCGAACCGAGCCCGGCTCATGTGTATGCTGTCCCTGACGTTCGGGTTCTTCATCGTGGAGGTGGTGGTGAGCCGGATGACCCAGTCCCTGTCCATGCTGTCCGACTCCTTCCACATGCTCTCTGACGTCATCGCCCTGGTCGTGGCTCTGGTCGCGGTTCGGTTCGCCGAGAAGACCCAGTCCACCAACAAGAACACGTTCGGGTGGATCCGGGCCGAGGTGATGGGGGCCCTGGTGAACGCGGTCTTCCTCACGGCCCTGTGCTTCACCATCGTCCTGGAGGCCGTGGAGAGGTTCACCGAACCGCACCAGATCCAGAGTCCGGAGGTGGTGGCCGGGGTCGGGGCCGCGGGGCTGCTGGTCAACCTGCTGGGTCTGTGTCTGTTCCACGGACACGCGGGGGGAGGAGGGCACGGACACTCGCACGGAGGAGGAGGGGGAGGAGGGGGTCACGGACACGCGCACGGACACAAGAACAAGAGGGTGAAGGCCGGGAAGAAGGCCGGAACCGGGTCCACTCTGGAGGAGACCAACAACCTGGTGGGGAACCACAGCAGTCCGGGAGAACCGAGACAGAGACACGGTGAGTTCTGGTTCTGACCGGGACAGTGGGGGAGACCGGGGTCAGGTGAGCCAAAGGCGGAGTCAGAGGGGATGATGGGAAAATAACCGCGGACCCGCTTTACACAAAGACGATAATAATAATAATAAATATAATTATTATGATAATAAATATTAATATTATAGTTATTATAATAATAATATTAATATTGTAGTTGTTATAATAATAATAATAAATATAATTATTATAATAGTAATGATAAATATTATAGTTATCCTCATAATAATTCTCTCCTCGCTCAGATCTGTCGTCCACGTCTCTCGGCCGTCAGACTGAAATCAGAGCAGCGTCACCAGCTGATGTCGTGTTTTAGAAAAGAGTTCAAATCCTCTCAGATTTCACTCTCAAACGTGTAAAAACAGTGTTGGTGATTTACTGCCGACCTTCAGAGGTGCAAAAATATTTACAAAAGTGCAGAAAAGAAAAAAAAACAACAAGTCAGGAGAGAACTGAAGAAACAGGAACAACAGTTTCTGTCCTTAAAGGGACAGTGAGGACGAGCGTTTTAGACTCCAGTTCTGACCAGAGGGTCACTTCAGACACCATAGACCCCCCAGACCCGGGGTAAGTGGACCAGAGGAGACCCCCTTAGTTTAGTCCTGCTCTCTTCTGAAGGTGACGGTTCTGTTTACACTCAGTCTGATGAACAACATCCTGAAATACTGGGTCATCTTAACCCGGTCTCCCCTACTGGGACCATCAAGACAGACCCCCCCAGAGCTGGTCTGAGTGTGTCCCCCCAGAGCTGGTCTGAGTGTCTCCTATATTTAATCTGTTAGACCTTATCTCCACGTTAAGAGTCCAGATTACATAAGACCCGGTCCACAGGTCCACAGGTCTTCAGAGCTCTCTGAGGACAGTCTGTCTGAGGACAGTCTCTCTGAGGACAGTCTCTCTGAGGACAGTCTGTCTGAGGACAGTCTGTCTGAGGGACTCGTGTCTGCTGGACTTTCACAGAGACTAAAAAAAAACAACTTTTTAACCTTAAATAGTGAAGAACTGTGTTTTTGATGTGAGAGTGATTATTGATTATTGATTATTGATTATTGATTATTGATTATTGATCAGACGGAGACTCAGACAGGTTAAAGATCTCGGGGTCGTTCACGGCTGTGAAAAGTTCTCCAGAACCATCCAGATGAATCTGAAGAGTTTTCTCTCAGTCAGGACGTCCCGGTTCTACACGTCCTCCATGACTCTGTCCTCCCTGTCTGGGACCAGGACCCTCCGTCTGTAACGAAACTGTCCTGATACAAACGGACCTGAAAAACTCGCCATCAGAAGCCAATCAAACGGCGCCGTGGTTCTCCACAGGTCCAGCTGGTTGAGCTTTGGTTCTTTCATGAACCTTTATTTTCTTAAACGGGTTCTGAAGTGTGTGAGCGGCTCCGACCCGGTGAGTGAAATCAGGGAGGTTCTAAAGCGGCGCCGACAGTGAGACTGTCAACCTGAGGAACACGCCACAGCTCCTGTGTTTGTTCCCACATATACTGGACCCACGGCTCAGTCCGGGTTTCCACGGCCCGCCTCAGTGACACAGTCTCAGGTTTCAGCTCTGTCAGAGTCTTCCTGGTCTGGTAGCAGGTCCAGACTTGTCCTGGAGTCTAAAAGTTCTGATGAAGAGAGATCACACCGTAGTTCTAATGTCACACGGTTCTGGTTCTGGTTCAGTTCACTCGTTCACCCTTCAGCCATGACACCGTGAACACATGAGAAACCCATCAGAACATCTGGACCACAGATCCAGTTCTCCTGCCTGATGATCTATTCTATACTTATCTACGTGTGACAGTCCTAACCTGTCGATATCAAACACTCTAAAGCTGTGGACCACACCTGACCCGGCAGGACCACACCTGACCCGGCAGGACCACACCTGACCCGGCAGGACCACACCTGACCCAGCAGGACCTCTGTCCAGGTCTTTTTGGTGGATCTGGATCTCCTCCAGCTTGGAGTCTTCTTGCTGCTAACAGGGGGCGGGGTCAGAGGTCGGGCTGGGCGATAAAACCATAATATCAATATAAAACATGATCAATATCCTTTTCAATAGTCGTCATTCTGACATGTTCTGGTCGACTAACGAACAGTCGGGCTGGACGATCTGCTTTTCTCCTGATTTGATTCTTCTGCGATTTTTTTAGATGTCGACTTTATTTAAATCGTGATTCTACGATGTTGTTGATTTTCTCGATCTTTAGTCTGTATTTTAAAGTGAAACAGATCAATGATTCTGATCATCTGCTGATATTCCAGATTATATTGATTTTTTTCTCCCACCCCTAACGAACAGCCAATGAAAAGGGGAGTTTCTCCGGGTCTGAACCAATCATGTTCTGAATTAGAACCAAGTTTCAAACAGCTGTGTCGTAGCAGACAGCAGCTACACCCAACCATAGCACTTTAACATCACAACGACAAAACGCCAAAGAGACACAAAGACCTCACAGATGATTATTGTGTTTTTAAAGACATGAGATCAATAAACACTGTTACAGTTTTAGATCCTGATATTGATCGATGATCAGCTGATATGAAATCAATAATATATCCTGATGAACTTTTTCCCTCCTCGCCCGGCCCTCCTTACCTGGAGGCGAGCAGTCGTTGCCATGGTTTCTCTCAGAGTTGTGTCCACGCACACGTTTGTGTAAACTGTGTGTAGCCGGTCGGTGTGCGTCTGTGTTGTTTTTTTTAATTCTGCGTTGAAGTGGCGTCTTTGTCGTCCCCGTGACTCCGCCCTCCACAGTGGGAGGAGTCAGTCCACTCACTCTTCTTTGTGACTCGTGCTTCAACCTCAAATGACGTCACCTCTCAGTCCCTCAGCTGATCAGGGCGCCGTGCTGCGGGGCGTTCTCTACGGCGTCTGCCTTCTCCACAGAGTTTACTGTTGTGGTCGTACGTCAGTGTCAAAGGTCAAATCTAACGCCGTCTAAACTCTGTCTCCTCAGATAAAAGCAGCGCAGAGGTGCAGATGAACGGAAACACCCACTATGAGGACCTGGAC